AAAGTTTTTCTAACTCCTAATTCTTTCACATAAACATGTTAATAGTGAAGGAATACAAATTAGCAAGTGATCATAATCTAAAATTCGATATTAGAACTCACACTGTACGTCTTGTAGATTTTAAGGACTAGATGAAAAAGATTTGGATTGAGAAAGTTTAGAGCTGAGACTGTTTATGATTAAAGACTTTAAATTATCTATCTAATGGTTTGCTAAGTTATCTATCTAATTTTTATAAATTAATACGATTAATTTATTATTACATAAATTAATATATTTTATATAATATTTAAAAATTTTATAAAAATTTTTATTATATCCGCACATACACATTTCGCATCCGAAAAAGTTTCAAAAACCAACGTAGGCTGCAGCATTTGACGGCGAGAAGATTGCCCTAATTTCATTCCCTTGTCTATGAGAGAAAGAAAATAAGCCCTATCATGTTTTTTTTTTTTCTCTCTCCTTCAATTTCCATGGGGCAACAGCCATCACTATCCTATCATTGTATGCCGACCATCAAACCTCTGCCCAGTTCTGAGGGGAAACTTTTTCCAGCCATATTCATGTGTTTTCTCCATCTTTTTTTCCCTTTATTGTGTTATTTTCAAGTGAAAATGAATGATCCCATTTTTTATTTTATTTTTTAAATTTTTGAGAGGAATCCGAAGGATTGGAGTTGTAGATGTTCATTGAATTTTGAACATTGGTTTCCACTTTTTTTTTTGTGGGTATTTCTGGTATGAGAACTTGCCTTGGTCTGCAATGGGAGATGGGGGGAAGTGAAGAAGACGAAGGGGTGGGGAATGAGCATAAAGTAAGAGAGAGGTGGGTCCCACGGAAATATTTATCAATTTTTTAAAATAAAGTGAGTCCCACATGAAAATATATTGACAGCCCAATTATTCTTTCTACTGAACTACAAGTAGGATACTTGCATGTGCATGATAATAAAGTGAACCTTCATTATTAGAACCGATAATAACAAAGTCAAACTCAATTTTATATGGTCTATTTGTATCCCCCAAAATAATAATCCAAGAGGGGTATATGTAGGAATAAGTAGGAATCATATTTCTGGAAAAGTGATGGAGGGTAATATGATTCTTAGGAATAATACATTATTGTGTTTGGTTCTATACAGGAATCTTTCTCAAATTCCTAAAAATATTACATTACTGTGTTTGGTTGTGCATGAGAATGTTGTGAATTAAAAAATATATATTTTTTAAATGAATAATAATAATAATAATAATAATAATAATAATAATAATAATAATTATT